AACCACTAAGAAGAATATATGAAGTGTGTTATTTGTTGAAACTGTACTTCCGATTTGATTTGAAACTGTCTCATTGCTGTTTATCAATAAAATTTTGGGGAAAAAAAAAGACCTAAATGGTCATCTCACTAAAGAATACATATGCAAGACAAATTGAGATATGAAAAGATGCTTCACACTACATGTCATTATGAAGCTGCAAATTACTGTGTCTACTATATGAGGCCTGTCTGTGACTCTCCGCCTCAGAGCCAACTGATTATGTGAGCTAAATAAGCCTTTCTTCCCTTAAAAAAAAAAAAGACTGGGATGTAGTTCAATAAGAAGGCCCTGGGTTCAATGCCAAATACCCACAATTCCCCAAACCAAAAAGAAATCCTAAAAGTCAATAATAAGAAAATAACACAGTAAACAAATAGACAAGATATTTGAATAGACGTTTCATCAAAGATATACCATTGGCAATTAAGTTCACACAAATACACTCAATATCTTTAGGAAATGCAAACTAAAATACAGTAAATACCTACTCCCTTAGTTAAGTAAAATGACTATAGCAATTGCTGACAAGGATATGGAGCATATCCTCTTACTAAAAATGTAAGTACAAGCGCTATGGGAAATAGTTTGGCAATTTCTTAGAAAGTAAAACTTTAAATTTAAATTAAATTAAATTTTAAATTAACCATAAATCCCCTCCCTTATACTACATGGTATTCAGTAGAAAAATGAAACATTTGCACACAAGTGTTTGTAATAACTTCACTTCTAGTAACCAAACCTGAAATAATTCTAATGTCCATCAACAATAGATAAAAAAATTATGATGCCAACTGGGCATACACCTCAGTGGTACAGTGCTTTTCTAACATAAACAAGACCATCTCCAACAACACCAAAAGGAAAAACAATATATACACTTAGCAATAAAAAAAGAACCTACTAATGTTATATGCAACAATATATGGTAGATAAACCCTTACAATAATTATGCTAAGTGAAAGATTGCATGATTCCACTCATACATTAGAGAAAATATATATGTTATATTAAGTGAAAGAAAACAGATCAGATCTTCGGCTGCCTAGAGATTAAAAGTTGAGGAGGCACAAATCAAAGAGTAGATTACATAAAGATATATGGAAATTTGGGAGGTTGATAAACATGTTCATTATCTTGATTATAATGACAGTTTAATGGAACATACTTAACATACTACAAAATTTGCTTAATTGAGATTATGAACATGTGTGGAGTATATTTCCATTGTATTTTAATAAAGATTTCTTTACAAACAAAATTTAGATAATCATAACACTCAGAAGGCTAAGGCAGCAGTCTAAAGCCACCCTGGGCTACAAGTTAAGGACCAACCTGAACTCACAGCAACACCCAGTCAGAGGGGGCAGAAGGAGAAGAAGCAGGAGGTAGAGGAGGAGAAAGAAGAAGGGAGAAAGGGCGGAAGGAAGGAGAGGGAGGGAGGTAGGGAAGGAGGGAGGGAATAAAGACAAGTAAGTCAGTTACCACCACCATCATTATCATATGGAACAATGTTTCCCAACTATTTAAACCAACCCACCTCTCTATTAGTGATGGGGCTGTATGAGACAGTGACATCTCAATGAAGAAGGAAGAGATCTACATATTTTAGCAGCTTCTAAAGAGATATCCAATATGCCCTTTCTAAATAATCAGTCACTTTTTTTAAAGCATAAAACTTTTTATAAAGGCAGTCATTAGCACCTGGAATCCAAACACCTGGGAGACTGAAGCAGGAAAACTACCACAAGTTCAACACCCGTCTGGGCTACATTGTGAGGAAAAATTAGGTTCTCCTGATGAGTGTAGTGCCTCATGCTAAAATTCTAGCACTTAAGAGGTCGAGGCAGGAAGATTGCCATGCTTTCAAGGTAAGCCTCCAACTACACTACTCTGTCTCAAAAAACAAACAAAAATTAGGCTCTTGAAAATATGCTATGTGAAAAAAAGGAGAAAAAGTCACACAGCCAAAACTAAGCAAGCAAAAAGTAGATAAATGGTTCCCAAGGAAATGCAGGCAGAAGAGAAATTATAAATAATTAAATGTTCTACAACAAGATAGTAGGGGGTGCCTGGGAGATAGCTCAATAGGATAAGTGCTTGCCTGGCAAGCGCAAGGGCCTGAGTTCAATCCCTGGTTCCACCAAAAAAAAAAAAAAAGATAGCAGGGGGGCCAGGGAGATGGCTCAGTAGAATAAGCGCTTCCCTGGCAAGTGCAAGGGTCTGAGTTCAATCCCCGGTTCTGCAAAAAAAAAAGTAGTGATAACTAAAAACCCCTGAGTTTAACACCTACATATGTGGGGAATTTCATGGTATATGACTTACATCTCAGTTTAAAATAAAAGCTTAGAAGTGATGAATAGTGACAGAATTTTGCCAGAGTTGGATAAAGGTCAACAAAATAATATCTGCTGAAGAGATTATGAATTATCAGATTAGGCAGCATAAAAGTACATTTTTTAATTTTTCCTTCTCCAAAACAAATTATGTTATTGGTCAAGCTGCAACCATGTATCATTTCTATGACCTTAAGTTACCTAACCTCTTAAAACAAAGAAATAATTCCCCTAATTAACTATTGTAAGTGACAGTGCTAAAAAAAACTATAAAATAAGACATGCACAACTAAAATCCCACCACTTTCCAGGCTCAGGGAGGAAGACTGCAAGATCATGGCCAGACTTGAGCAATTAATTTAGTTAAGATTTTATCTAAAAAATTTTAAAAAATAAAAGGATAAGAGTTAAAAGGGTAATTTAGCAGTAAAAGACCTCTGGTCCAATCCTTCATGTTGGAGGGAAAATATAATTCACAAGCACTGGTAGTATTTATTAAATGCATCCTTCTACAAATAAAATGTACATGGTATACTTAATTGAATGTTGTTACCATGTCCTTTAACTTTCTTTTAGTTGCGTATGTATCCACAGATGTACATACAGAAAAGATAAATAAAATCTACAGAAGATATCAATCTTTTAAACCTTCTTTTTATTTATTTATTTTGAGATGGGCTCTTGCTAAATTGCCCAGGTCAGTCTCAAATTCTTGGACTCAAGCCTCTTGCGTACCTGGGGCTACATAAGCATTCCACACGGCCCCATGGAAAAAGTAACACGTTTTAAAAAGTATTAGAGAAGAATAAACTACTTAATTATAGAGGAAAAAAAAAAGTTATTTAGAATCACCTACCTATCGGAGGTGCTTGGTATCGATCCACTGTTTTTCTTTGTCTCAAATTATATGGTCTATCATTCTCTTCTCCTTCTGCCTCTTCAACTTCTATATCTCCATCCTCCTCTTGAGATTCTAGAGTCCACACAAAAGAAAGGTGGAAGGTAGCATGTTTAATCCACATATACTGGTCTGACTTTAAAACTCAGCATTACATTTTATCCATTTTTCTTTTTTGCACAGCTAACATTTAAAAAGTATTCATCGTTATGACACAACATACATCAATATAACTAAAAATCAACATAATTAATTGTTTAGAAAGATTTTCCTGGGCTGAAGAGATAGCTCAGCAGCACAAGCACTGCCTGGTAAGTACAAGGTTCTGAGTTCAATCCCTAGTACCAAGAAAGAAAAAAAAGTGTTTCCTACAACTAATCAATACAGTTCTCTGTTAAAATAAACAAATCTATGATCTAATTTTTTTTTTTTTAACATATTTAGTACAGGGTAGATCAGACTCGTAGTGATCCTCTGGTTTTCAGCCTCCCAAGTGCCGGGATTACAGACACACGCCACCTCACCCAGTCTCAGTCATCGTCTCAGTGCACCACGAGGGCAGGGCTGGCAAGGCACGCTGGGGATCAAACCCGGGCCACTGCGCTCTGCCTAATCAGGTGCTTTAGTCCACTGAGCTATCCAGCCAGGCCCTATAATCTAATCTTTATAAATAAAATAGACAAAAGTTGTATCTGATGTCATGACTTATTAAAACTTTTTAAGGACAAAGCAGTAACAAAGTATGACTTAAAATTTTTCCAAACTACATCAGACCTCAATTAAAATCTAAGTATGATTAGTACTCAAATTCCATTTGGTAATTCAGAAAAAAATATGCTGTCAATGCAATACTAATGTTACAAACTAGAGCAATTTTTGCTGGCAACATAATGATTTGTTAGGAATGTAGAAAACAGTTACATATGAATTAGACCCATCTTGGTAACAGAATGAAGATAGGGACTGTAAGGAAGCATTAAAGAGATTATTATTTTTGTTTATTTTTTGTTTTATTTTTGAGACAGGATCTTGTTATGTAATCCAGACTGGCTCTCCATTACCATACAGCCTAGGTTGGCCTCAAACTTAAAATCTGCCAACTTCAGCCTCTGGAGTGCTGGAATTATAGGTATGTGCTGGTAGCCCTGGCTGTGAAACATACATTTTAGGGTGTTGATGATAGCTTAGTTCTGGACATGAATAATTACTGTATAATTCATCTAGCTGTATAATTTACATATATATATATATATATATATATATATATATATAAAAGTTCATGTTTAACATGAACAGTCAGCTATAGTCAACAGTTTGACTATAGCTGTAACATCTATTTACGTTAAAAGTCTGAAGAAAATTTACGTACTTTGGTTGGCGATGGTGCTGAGTAAAGTAGAAGAATAAAACTATAAGATTTAATATACTATTCATGACATCTAAAAGCTTATTTCAAGTTTTGGAAATTCAAAGGTTATATAGAAAATCAGTATAGCAACATTTCTTATCCAAAGAATACTAACATGTAAAATATCTGCAGTCAGAGGTGGGGGTACACACCCGTGATTCCAGCACTCAGAAGGCTGACACAGGAAGATCATCATGATTTCAAGGCCAATCTAGGCTACATAATGAGATCAAGACCAACCTAAACTAACTACATAGTTACCTAAATAAAAAAATATTTATGCCAAAGTAAGTTTTCTAGGCTGGCCAGATACCTCAGTGAACTAAAGCGCCTGCTTGGCGCAAAGACAGGTGTTCCACCCCCAGTGTGCTGTGCTAGCCCTGGCTATGCCCTCCAGGGCACACTAAAATGGCAACTGAGATTAGGCGTGGTGACGTGCACCTGTAATCCCAGCACTTGGGAGGCTGAAAACAGGAGGATCACTAGGAGTCCAATCTGTATAATGAGACCCTTTACTAAATACATGAAAAAAAAAATTCAAATTACATAGACTTCAAAACCTAAAACTCACCTACCAAGCAATATTGTACATACACTACTTGATATGTTTCTTCTCTCCCACTTGAATTTTCCAGTATTTATTTTATAAAGTGCTTTACAAACCTTCTTCCTCTCCTTCAGTAGAAACTTCATGATGATTCTGTATCCCATAACTATTTCTTCTCAGTGATTTTCTTCGTCTTTTCACTCTTGAATACATATCCATGTTTTCCTTTTAAAAAAAAGAAATCTTTCAAATATTAACATGGCATTTATTCTGTGCTATAAATAACATTAACTAGCTGGACATGATTGTGCACACTTGTAATAATCTTAGTACTCAGGAGGCTGAGGCAGGAATATCTCAAATTCAAAGTCAACCTAAAAACTACATAGTAAGAACCTGTCTCAAAAAAAAAAAAAAAAGTCAACTCAATCGAACATGCCTGCTTCATAAAATTTACTAAGTATGTTTCTGCGTGTCAAATACTGTTAAAAATAGAACTTCCTAAATCAAATAAATGTGAAGGAACAAGAAGAAAAAAAAAAGTATTAAAAAGCATACAATATCAATGTACTTTCTCCTCAAGCAAATTATAGCCTACCAGAGGGGTTAAATCAAGTAATTATCTAAGAAAATGAAATAAGTCTAAAGCCAGATATGGTGGCAGGTCCCTATCATCCAGACATTCTAAGAGGCTCAGCAATGAGTTTAAATCCAACCTGGGCAACACAGCAACTTAGTAAGACCCTATCTCAAGTCGCAAGCACAGGGGTCGGGGGAAGAGGAGCCACCTAGAAATGTACTTCTTCATTTACACACACACACACACACACACACACACACACACACACAGTTTAAACCAGGCATGGTGAGACTGGGCGAGGTGACACGCGCCTGTAATCCCAGCTCTTGGGAGGCTATAAACAGGACAATCACTACAGTCCAATCTAGTAGTGAGACCCTCAACACCCTATAGACCTTTCCTTAAAATATAAAAATTAATACATAAATAAAAAATAAAATTTAAGCCAGGCATGGTGTCACAGGCAAAAGCTGTCCGAGTTAAGGCACTCACAAATTCTGTATCTGTCCACATTCTAAGTCGCTCTACTTCTCCTGATCGCCGATTCCGCCGGATGTTAATGTTGTCCATTTCTTGGAGCACAGCTTCAGCAGTACTGCAATCACAATCACATCAGGGTTCAGACACTCTTCAACAACATGTAAACTAACTCATCTCTGATATGTAACTGCATATAATATTCCTACTGAATGTCTTTCAGTGTCAATATCCATCAAAAAACAAAGCCCAGTAAAAAAAAAAATAAAATAAACCAGAACTTCTCAATATTTTTATTAAAATAAAAAAATAAGGCTCCAAAAAATAGGTTAATCTATAATGTCACCATAAATAATTACAAGATCCCTGCCACTGAAAAATAATTCAATGTATTTAAGAAAAAATGTGTAAAATGTTTAAAAACAAATAAGGCTAAATGGAAAGATATACTGAAAACCAAGAAATATATGGGAACATCTATTCTTATTTTATGTGGTTTTTTAATTATGGTTTTTGTTTTGTTTTGTTTTGGTTTTTGAGACAAGGTCTCACTATGTAGTTCAGGCTGGCTTTGAACTCACTATGTAGCCCAGGCTTGCCTTAAAAATCATAGCAATCCTCTTGCTTCAGCCTCCCAAGTGCTGGGATTACAGGCATGTGCCATCATGCTCAGCTTAGTTTTATGTTTTTGACAAATAACAAACATTTCTATATTATTTACTGTATGTTCAGATCAAGATTTAAGTAAATAGTAAGTTACACCTCAACTCTGACAATGACTGCTATACTTCATTATTTCCCTGCTTGTCAAATGTGAATGACACTGACCTCCCTTCTCCAGGCCACTGTGACCACTGTTAAGACCAAGGAGGATGATGCACACACTGGTTTCAATGTCCCTCAATGATCAGATGTGGAAAACCTAAGGCCCAGTGCAACAGTGTTAAGAGGCAGGACTTCTAAAAGGTTATTAGTGCACTCCCTTGCAAAGGGATGGGTGCTTATCCTAAGAGAGCTGCTTATAAACAGCAGGAGTTGAATGTGTCCCTGTTCCCCTTCTTCCTTCCTGTCCTCTTCTATGCTCTGATTCTGCGATCCATCTACCATGTTACATTGCAACAAGAAAGGGTGCAACAGATTCAGTCCCTGTAGTTCTGGCTTCCTAGACTCCAGATAAAAATTTCTTTATAATTTTCCCAACCTGTGGAATTCTGTTATTGTAGCAGCAAACAGATATTATCTGAGAACAGAATTTTGAAGCTAAAGATGCTGATCTGATGATTAGCTAGGCTCACTCACTAGTTGGGTGACTCAATCTCACAAGTACAGGTCCAATGGTGTGGGGGCAAACGGGCTGTAAACCCAGCACTCAGGAGACTGAAGCAAGAAGACTGCTGCAAATTCTAGGCCAACCTGAGCTACACAGTAAGGTGAAGGCCATCCTAAACTACATATTGAGATCCTGTCTCAAAAAACAAACAAAAGTAAAATAAATATAATAATACAGGTTCAAAACATGTTCAAGTCAAAATCTACCCACCCTCCAAGTTCCAGGGATTGAACCCAGGACCTGTGCACTGAATTACATCCCCAGTCTTTTTTTATGTTCTGTGAAACAGTCTCGCTAAGGTGCTAAATTACCCAGATTGGGCTCAAATTTGTAATCCTCCTGTCAGCCTCCCTGAGCACCGCAAATATAGGTATAAACCACCAGGCCCAGGTTCAAGTCAAAATCCTGACTAAGCAAAGGTAGTATTTGCTATATATCAATGAGGCAATATTGCTTAAAAACTGAAAAACATTCAAAAAAGAAAAACACAAATATTAAATGAACAAATAGCAAAAGAATATAATAGAGAAGTTTAAGTACAGTTACTTTTAAGCTATCTACCTGCTGAAATAGAGGAAAATTTTAGTAGTATAGAATTACATTAAATCTACTAGTCTGAATAAAAACTATCAATATCAGCTATTGTTAAGTTTTAAAAGAATTATATTCATTGCTAAGTCAGTACTTTAAATCGCATACTGCACAAACATTCATACCTATTCACTAGTTGATCAAACAGCAAACTCTGGTTCACACTCTCAAATCTGTTTTTCCTGGAACGACAACTTTTCCTGACTTCCATGTCACCATTTATACAAGAAAGGTCCCCATCCCCCTTCTTCTCCCCTCTGAGGGGGTGGCTTCGCAGGGCTGCAAAACACAGGCATTTCCATTCCAATATATAGAATACAATAACAAAGAAAAGAATGAAACACGAAATTGCTTTTTGTTTTTGATCTTTCTGAAACATGGTCTCTCAACGCAATTCAGGCTGGCCTTGAACTCACAGTGATGCTCCTAAGTGCTGGGTTTACAGGCATGTGCCATCATACTTGGCTAAAATCACTTTTAAAAGACTATTAAAGTGGAACTTTTTTTTTTTTTTTTTTTTTTTTTTTTTTTTTGCAGAATCAGGGATTGAACTCAGGCTCTCGCGTGAACATAACTTCTTAATGGCTCTAATACTCAATAATTTAAATTTTCCATAGGGATTTTATGTCACATTTAAAATTATTAGTTATACAGATTTCTTAAAATTTAAAACCTTCATACATTTTTTCAATGACATTTTTTACCTAGTTACTTCCAACTATAAACTCAGCAGAGTATTGAATCAATCTGTTTTCCCCACACACTGATGCTTAATCTAACACCACTGTAAGAATTTCAATACCAGGCAGTTTTACAACAGAATACTCACATAAGCCACTATGTCCGTTCGGTAATGCAGCACCAGGCTGAGAAGTTAACCTAGAACACAGTTATATTTAATATACAAACACATCAGCATTTATTTGGATAAGCAAGAAAAACAATTCTGCTAGAATTATTATTTTAATCTTTAAAATGTTTGTAATAATCAATAAATTAAATGTTGTTGATATATTATTTTTACAAGATAAATTTTAACCTAAGATTGATAATGTATGAACAGAATATACTATCACTTAATTCTTTATAAAGAAAAACTTTCATAACAGATTATACACAGAAGTAGTCCTGTCATCAACTCTATGAATTACAACCCTAATGAAAAGACTGAAGCTTAACAGGTAGCATAAATTTAAGTGAAGCAGTAAGTTGCCTGGCAACATACAGTAGCTAATAATTTTGTCTGATAAAATAAATTTCAAACTATGACAAAACTTTTTCAAATAACAAAATGTAAAATGAGGAAGAAAACCACTGAACACTAATATCTAATAATCCCTTCAAAATACTGACTATACATTTTCAAGTAAAAAATTAAAACAGCTGATTTCTCAAAACAAGTCACTTTACAATTCTCTCATTTTGGTGGTGGAAGAAAAATATAAATCACTAAAAAGACAACAAATGCCATTATAAATTGAGGAATTAAACAAACCAGTATGTGTTTCTTAGTATTAGAAAGTTCAATCGGGTATGGTGCTACAAGTTTATAATCTCAGAATCTGGGAGGCTGAGGCAGGAGAATTACTACAAGATTGAGGCAGCCTATATTATATGGTGAGTTCAAGGCCAACTTGGACTGCATAACAAGACCCTGTTTCAAAAAACTTCTAAATTACTGCTTAATAAAAGAGCTGTCAATGAAAACTAAGATAGGTTTTAAATAAATTATTTTCACAGATTAAAAAATTAAGGGAGGGGCTGGGGACATAACTCAATAGAATAAGTGCTTTCCTGGCAAGCGCAGGGTCCTGAGTTCAATTCCCCAGTGGCGAGAAAAAATAA